AAATTAAAAAACCCCCACACACCAACATTCCCCGCCTCAAACCTGTCTTCCTCTTTGCTTTGCAAATAAAACACATTTTCAAAGCAGACTTGGAGGCTGGTGGAATGTTACCAACCCATTTCTAAATATTTCAAAGTGCAGCATGCTTCCAATTTTTCCAGCTGAAGCAAGCAAGCTCATTGCCACTAATTACAAATGTAGTGTAGCCCTGGGCCAGTTCACTGGACTTTTATATTCGTGCTTATAATGGAAATAAATTAGTACTTAAGTGCAGTTCATTTTTAAATGACCTTACATAAACTATTTACCAAAAAGATGTTTGAAATATTCTGTTGGCTACACAGCAGAATAAACTGGTTTGGTGAATTTAACACTTGCAACTTTCAAAACTGACAATTATGTAATATGGATTAAATATTAATTACTGTAGTTGCTAATCTGTAAAATTCAAGAGTATGTCCAGGTTTTCCTTGGAAAACCCAGTGCACCATTAATATTTGGTGCATCCTCTTCCCTGAACATCTCCCTATTTTTAAAACTGGTTGAAGTCACACAAAAAATCCCAAACAGAAAGCTTCTAATATCTGCTTCTGGAGTCCACACAAACTGTTTGATAGTTTCTCTTTCATATTTAGAAAAACCTTAACGAAAGCTTTGAATAGGACACACATTTTTCAAACAACATTTTACAATTACTTGATAAAAACGTCCTAGCAAAACTGATACAAAAGCTTCAGAGGGGTAGCTGAGCTGTAACAGGAAAAACGTAAAAAACAACAAATAGCCTAGTAGCACCTTACAGACTAACAAAACATGTAGATGGTAACATGAGCTTTCGTGGGCACAACCCACTTCTTCAGATGACAGGAGTGTCTGAAGTCCAGATCCAAGAATAAATAAGGAAGGGGAGAGGGAGAGGGAGAGAAGAAGGGAAAAAAATGGAGGGGAGGAAGAAAAAGAAAAGAGACCGTGAGTAGATAAGCTTCAGAGGGATAGCCCAGTTAGTTTGTAACAGGAAAAACTTAAAAAACAACAAATAGTCTAGTAGCATCTTAAAGACTAAGTAGTTACAAGAGGCTGACAAGAACCATTAGTTTGCACTTAGAAAGGAAGAGGACCAACACCAGATTCTACACAGACATCAAGAACCATTAGCACCTTCATTGTTTGGTTGGTTGATAATATGTGAGCCATCCCATATCCTGATTCATACCATTTGCATAAGAATTAACCTTGTGAATGAAGTTAAGTTCCAAAATTGATACAGTTGTTCAATAAAGTTTGGGGAAAAGAGACCTCTGCTGACCAATGGAAACACCAATAAAGGGCGATCTTACTGACTGTAACAACTGCAGAGGAATTATACTACTCTCTGCTGCAGAGAAATCCTTCTGTAATATGATATTGCAGAGGATGAAAGAGGCAGATGATGCAGAGCTCTGAGAAGAACAAGGTGGATTGAGGCCCAAGACATCCCATGTAGATCAGATATTTCCAATAAAGGTCCATCACAGAAAAATGACAAGCTCCCCTCCCCTCTTCTTTTTTTAATTTCAAATGGCTTTTGAGAGATTGACCTACGCACCATGAAATATTCTTCAGTCCTGTGGAATCCCAGTTAAAACAGTCAATATCATCAAGGCCATGTACAGAGTGTTTTGTGAGAGTGCATAACCAGACAGCAGAATGGTTTAATGTGGCTGCTGGCAGAAAACAATTCTGCACTTAATTTTCATTGTTGTTTGGCATTGCCATGGTATGGAAAATGAAATTTATGAGCAACACAAACACTGGTAGAACAACTTTGCTGATGATATTGTGCCATCCAGAGACACCCCTGAAAAGAAAGGCAGACAACTTGGGCAAAAATAACAAGCTAAATGAGGTTCAACATT